TATATATATATATATATATATATATATATATAGTGTCACATCATAATAGTATTAATTTTTTTTCATTTTTTTATTCAAATTTTTTATTTAAACAATGTATTAAGACATGCAGAAGATGCCGAATTTCGCTTTTTGTTGTGTTTCATTTATCATTCATTATTTTCTTGTATGTAATCAAAGTTTTGAATCAAGTTTTTATAATTTAAAAATATAGTGTATTCAATAAATCAAAAATTCAGCAAATATTCTTTTTATATTAAAATTCCATAATTCAAATTAAAATTCCATAATTCAAATTTGCTTCTATGCACTAAAAACAATATGCATTGATAATGAATTGCTGCAATATATAAAATTCAATTACATGAACTAAAAAATGTGTTGAATATTTATTATATTATATTTAGTACGTTTTCTTCGATATATTATTTACTTATTCATGCTCAGTTGGTGTATATTTAACATTACTTCGAGGTCTGTGATAACATTCTCGTTAACATAGAACGAAATTTATTACAAAATAAAATATTGCTTGAAAGTATCTAAGGAATTTTCAATAAACCGATGTTCCCACATTTTTGGAATTAATTTTTTCAAAATTAAAAATATTGAAAAATGTAAATATTAAAAATGTAACATTATAATAAATATAACTTGTAGGTTATATTTATTATTTAATTAATTGGATAAAAAAATTCATAAGAAGTCAAAATATTAGTATTCGATTATAAACTATATAAAAATATTCGATTATAAACTACTTATCTTTATATATCATATGTATTTCAAATTTATTATATCATACTGTGTAATAAAATCAATTTTTATTTAATCTATAAATATTTTTTTATAAAATGTAAAGATAAAATATTTATCTTTATATTTGCTATTATTTAATAATCATATAAGATAAAATTAAAATAATATTTATTGTTGGTAATTAATTTATCGTAAGTCTTTGATAATAGAGTATGTAAGGGAACTCTCTAATTAGTATATTAAAAATAATAATATTCAAATTAATAAAAACAAAAAATTTAAAAAAAATTCAAATTCTATTGAATTAAATAATTTAAAAAAAATTTTTTTTACAATTAAAAAAATAATATTTTAATCAGATAGAAAAACATAAATTATTGCATGTTAGAAATCTCATTACGATACGAAATTGCTATCAATAGTTGTCAGTTGCATACAATGCAATTGCTTTAAATTCTTTTAAAATTTTAATAAATAAAAATTTATTAATAGCTATTGACTACCATCAAATGATTATATTTATGAGTAAAATAATTTTTCACAATATTGATTTTTCACAATATTTTATTTACGTGATACAAAATTTCATAAAATGAAAAATATATGTATTTTATATCTCGTCTATGATTTCGTCCATTTCTTTGTTTTCAATTTATCTAAATATTTTTTTAATATACTTTGAATATATGAAATTAATAATTTAACAAAAATAAGAATACTTTATTTATTTTCACTCCATACCTTTTGATTCTGAATGTCTTTTAATTTATATTGTTTTACAAATATTACAAATTCTTAATACTAACTAAAATAGCGCTTTTATATTTTGTCTTTGATTTTATTATATTTCTTTCTTAACATTATTTTATATTTTCTTTAATGCTTTTCTCTTTATTCTTTATTTTAATCTTATTGTATATATCATACTTTTTTTATTCATAGTTACTTTTAATTTCAGTTTTTAATTTATTTATATATGATATAATATAACCTAACTTAATTTCTTTTGTATTTTTCTTTTTATTTTTTTACTCTCTTTATTAGGAATAAATTAGGAATAATATTTAATGATTAAATTTGCCTATTTTTCAAAACTTTAAAATTTACAATTATTTAACAATGAACTATATAACGATAACAATGAAAAATTACAACAGATAGATAAAATACAATTATTATTGACAGTTATAATTTATAGTTATCTAACTACCTAACCTTTAAAATTAAATAATCAGTTTAACAAAATCTCTCGATAGTTAAGAAACAGTATTTTCCTTTAGCGATGCAAATTCTATTGCATCAAAATTATTATCTGTATTCGTTTTTTTTCGGTTTTGCTTTTGTTCAGGATTGTTCCATGTCTGTAATTGACCACTACCAAAAATGAGAAATGTGAAAGCACCAAAACAATAAATCGATGCCAATATCCAAAAAATAATACTCCATCGAGTGTAAGTTTGATTTTTATAGGTTATCGTGCCAACCATGTAGCTACTTAGCAATCCGCCTAGAGAACCAAGTGTATTCATCATACCAAAGATAGTTCCTGCGAAGTTGGGTGCAATGTCTAAGCCGTTTCCCAGATAACCTGCCGTTACTGCACCGTTAATCGTCAGAGCGATCGTAAAGATTGATACAGATGTAACACGATCGCATCCGTAATTTGCTTGTATGATCATTAATAATCCTGGAGTTAATACAGCTAAAAAAAAAAAAGGAAAAGAAAAGAAAATAAAATGAAATAAAATGATTGATGTAGAGCAAGATGAACTTCTTATTTAGAGTTCAAAGCTTTTTACAGGAACTCGGATTAATGTTAGTATAAAATATAATTTTTGCACAAAGAATATTAATTGACTTTTACGAAGATTGTATTTTAGAAATATAATGCTCTTTCGACACGACATTGTATTTCTTATACAAATGATTACTTATTTTTTGATTATTTTTGTGATTATTATCAAAAATTATAAATAGAATTAAAAGATATTGTAATGTTTTTTTTTTGTTACAATTTGATATGTAATATGTTTCAGTAATGTTTTACAGTGAGTTACTTTTATCTCAACAAAGTATTATGATAAAAATTAATTCCAATTATATTAAAAAGAAAAAAATACATGTTTTATAAAGAAATAAATCAATACAATAAATAAATATTGTATATTGTTATAAGTAATATAGCGTGAAATATGTCTACATCTAATATTATAAGTATAATATTGTTCATGATATAGTATTATGTAAATTTCATAGTTTTGAATTTAGATAATATTGAACAATTTCTATACTTACCAAAAGAAGTAAATATCTTTCGAATAGATGTTACCGATAGTTTCTTACTTTTAAATAAATAATCAGCCACAGTTGATGTTGTCACGGCAAAGATATATTTTCCGAGATATGGTAAGGAAGATAACATTCCATTCTATAGAGGAGAAGAAAGAAAAACAATCGATTTGATAGAATAATATAAAAGAGAATAATCATTTCATAAAACAATGTCAATACAAACCTCTTTGATATTAAAGTTTAAAATATATTTCATGTACGTTGGTAGTTGGTTGACAACGGTAAAATAACCAAACACATTGCAGCTGTGAGTCAGCACGATAGACCAAACAGGAATTGAAAGAAAAATGCATTTCCACGGGACGGATAATCTCTGTAAAAGAATAAATAGTATAATTTATATGTACTATATATAATATATATATACTATAATTATATTTGTATAATATAATTTGCATTGAATCATTAATATGGATAAAAAGTTTGTAAAATATTTTTTATTTTTTTATATCAAAAAAGTAGCAACAATTTTTTTCTGTAATTTTTTCTGTAAACTGATAATATTCTCTTCAATTAATTTAAATTTTTTCCAAAATTCGTTTCAAAGGTTTTATTGTCACAAGAAGTCTTGACTTTTTAAGATTAAATTTAAAAAATATTTTGAAAATTATTGAAATGAATTTATTAATTATTGATATGATAATATTTAAAATTTATATTCTCACTCAATTTTCGAAACTCTTCTTTTTATTTGATATAAATATCATATTATGTTTTTTACAAATCTCATAATTTATAAAAAATGTTTTTTTTCAAAAGATTGAAGTATTATAATATTTTATATATATTGTAATACAAGTATTATAATATTGTCAAAAATTTGTACTAATAGTATAGTATATTTGTACTAATACTAAGAGAACATTATAATAACTGCAACATTTTCAATATAATAGAATAGAATCTCCTATATTTGCATCGTTATTATTTGAATACTCTCATATTATTACCTAACATTCAATTATTTTATTTTCAATAACTGCTTTATAACTGCTTTGATATTTATATTATATACAATAACGAATCCTAATCATAATCATATAATATAATCATTATTAGATTCTGGATTTTTATGCAAAATTAAATTTTCACAAATATGATGAAAACTTGTCTTATATCTTTAATAATGTATATCTTTAATAATGTAATAAATCTTTTATACTATACTTTGAATTTTTTATGTATCTTTACATATAATATATATTCTCTAGTAGACTATTTTATACATTCAAATTTTGCATAAATGCATAAATATGCATTATGCAAAAAAAAAAAATGATCGTATGAAGGACAAAAAGAATATAATTCTATATAGTTATTTATGTTAAAAAATTTATGATAAAATTGATTATCATATTTTATCATAATTATCATTTATGATAAAAATATATAGATTAAATATTATATAAAGTGTTAAATTTGTTGATTTTCATTTGAATAAATAAAGTTTAACATTGAAATAGAATGATTTATTCTATCATTTGAAAATTATTTTATCTATTTCTATTTTTTTATTAATACAAATACGAAAGATTCTATTTCTTTTTCAAAAAAAAAAAAAAAATATTCCTTGAACTTTTCATCCATATTGAATAATAAATTACATTTTTTCAATTCTTTATTACACCTTTGTTGTAGTGGTAGTACCGATCGATTCTTCGATGTATCGACGTTCTTCGATCGAAATTCTCGGATGTTGGGCGGGAGAGTCAAATATTAAGAGAAACCAAGCTATACTCCACATAAGACCTATTGTTCCTGTTACGTAGAATACAGATTCCCATCCAAAGTAAGCAATTAAAAATCCGCAAATTGGCATTGTTAACGCTGCCCCGAGCGACGAAGCTAAATACATATATAAAGAAATTTTTTTTCATTTTTTATTGTATTTCATTTTTATTGTATTTCAATATTATATAAAAAGTAATATATTTTATTTGTTTTATAGAAAATAGAATATTTTTTTAATATTCAACAAAAAGAAAATATATTTCATTTTTCATTATAAAATTAAATAATAATTCATTATAAAATCATTATAAAATAGTAGCACATTTTGATTTTGTTGCGAAAAATAATTTATTTCACTATCTTATCATAAAAAAAATCATATTAGAATTTTTTTAAATAATTGATTAGAAAATATTTTGCTGTTAAAAAATAATTAATTAATAAAATAAATTTATATAAGAAAAGTCAATTGGAATTCGATTTCAATTATATTCTTTTATACATTTTCTAATTACCAAATCAGAAAAAATCTTACATCATATTTATCATTAATTATTTAAATGTAATTTTTTCATCATTATAAACGAAATATGTTTTATACGAGATATATATATAGAATTTCATTTTCAATTTATACATTTAAATATATAAATTTTAAGTTTTAACAAAAAAGAAATATACTTTTATATTCTATCTTTCATAATTTTTCAAATATATAATTATTATTATAAATGATATTTTTTATTGGAAATCATTGCAATATATTAATTTTAATAATTAATTTTAATAAAAAGTGATAATATATTTTATTTCGTATCAAATCCTATCATATATGCTTTTTTTTTATGAAGGAAAATGAAATGTAATATTTTGAATTATATGTTACATTGAAAACAAATATGTTTTTTTTTATAAAATAAATGTTAATTTTCATTTGTATGTACGAAAATCTAATTCGATATTTATACAAAGTTGTAATATATATATAAGATTTTACATATTCACATTGGAAATTGATTGTAAAAAATATAGTCAAATATGAAGTAAAAATATTTTTATAAAGAGCAATACAAAAAAGAGCAGAATTAGAAATATGATGTGCAGATTTTTGTTTTGAGCATGGATATTAATATTATCTTTGATTTTATCTTTGATTTTAGATTATAACAATGTTTTATAATTGAAAATATAAAATAAATATTAATATGTTGATTTGAAAAATTATCTTATATTTTATGTTTAAAATACATTCTGTGAGTTATCGAATTCATGCTTCGAATATACGTATATTAAATTCAGGTCGACCCCATGTTCATAATCATTCATGTTATCCATGTTCATGATTCATAATCAATCATAGATCCATGACTACTATTACACATATTAGTTTTCATTTTAACGACGAGTTTAAAGAAGGGGAGAATAATATATCTTCTTGTATATTTAATTTTTATATTTTATATTTAATATTTAAAATAACTTACATTAAATGTATTAATTAATATTTAATTTTTTGATTTCAAGTTTCAAGTTTTATTTAAAATTTTAGCTTTTTTTCTTTTTGTCTTTTTGTTAATAGAAAAAGTTAATAGAAAAAATTGTTAATAGAAAAAATAAAATTTTTGATATTATTATTTTTTTTTTTCTTTAGAAAATTGTTTGAATGAATTACTTTCTCTATGCTATTCTAATTAGAAAAATATAAATACTTAAATTTAAGTTAATTATAAATTAAATATAAAAATAATTTTTTTTATTTTTTGTATTAAAATTGCATTAACTAGGTATAAAAAAATATAGAAATATTGAAAATTCAAACTTTTTTAAAAATATTAATAATATTAAAATGAAGATATTATATTTTATACTTTATTTATTCCTATTTATGAAATCTGAATAATTTTATGTTTTATCATTTTATATTTAATTAAAGAAAACTAAAAATATTTGCATTTCAATATTTCCATTATATTGTTATTAATGAATTTAATCTTTCAATATTTTTTTATTATTTGGTAAATTTCAATTCAAATTTTTAATATTCAGAACATATGTTTGTATGAACTTTTTCATTGTTTTTAGATATATAATAAATTTTTTAAGTGGATATCACATATTAATCTGTTTAATGAGATAAAACAAAACAAAAAAAAAATAAAATAAAATCATATGATTATTTTCTAATTATAAAAAAAATTTATGTTTAATATTTCAGATTTTATATGTAATATAATTTGTATGTAATATAAATGTTTCTATAAAATTAATTTTTGAAATGCCGTAAGAGTTTCGAAGTTTTAATTGTATGTTTTTTTTAAAGCTTTTCTTTAAATATATTTTTTGATTTTATTTTTATTATTACATTATATAATTATTAATTATAGTATATTTTTAATCTTTTATTAAAAATTTGTTGATTTTCATATATGAAATAATGATATATGAAATAATGTTTATAACATAAATTAAGAATTATTGTAAAATAATAATGTAAAATAAAAATTTTCTTTAATTTATTCCAAATTTTTCATCTAAATTATTTCTACATAGAAAGAAACATTATTTTCTGAAAACAATTAGTTAAATTATTCTAAAAAAATTTATTAAATTTATAAAAATTATATTTAATTTTTTTTTCATTTATAATATCTCAAAAAGTTTCTTGATAAGATTTCAATTTAAATATTATAAAAAGCAAGTTTTTTTTTTATTATTGAAAGTTACGAATATTAAAAAAAAAAATTTATCTGAATGTTTCCTTCCATTTTATTTTATAATTCATACGTTTATTTACCCATCATATTCGAGACAAATTTGCTGCGTTCCGTTGGTGGTATCCATCGGGCGGTCATTGGTTGGATGGCAGGCCAAGTAGCTCCCTGTATGTCGAAATAGACTGATAATAAAGACTATTTTACTAATTCGAATCAATTAAAATTGCTAAAAATTAAATTTATATCAAAAACAATCTTTATCAATTCTCGTTTTTTCCAGAAAAATGAGAAATATCCAAAATCTTTAGTTTTTTACAATATGTTAAAATTTTTTTTAACAAAATATTATAAACTTAAAATATTTATACAGTATATTTCCCAACCATAAAACTTTTTTAAAAAAGTTAGATACATGTTATCAAGATCATGATCCTGAATATCCAAAGGATTCTAGCCGATAATCGTTGTTTATAAAAAAGTTGTTATCAAAAAAAGAATGAATAATATTTTTTCATACTAAAAATATATAATATATAATAATTAATAATTTTGATTTTTCTTTCCATAAAATAATATATCATATAAATTTGGATTTTTTTTGAAAATGCTCATAGAAATGGAGAATGAAATTTATTTTGTCCACGCATATATTTTGTAAAAAAAAAAAAGAAATGAAATTCTTAATTAAAATTAAAATTAAATTAGATAGCTTTTAAAAGAATAATTATATATAAAGAAAAATCAAAAGTAAAAAATTAGATAAATATTAAATAAATATAGAATTACATCATCTTATAAAGTATTATATATAAACACAGTAGATTTCATTATAAAGAAATTCCATTTTCGAATAATATAATGCAATTCATATTTTTTATTTAAAACTAAAAAATTTCAAAACTTAAAATATCCTTTTTTAAATATCTCTACACATGATATTCTATTCATTAAATTTTTTGTTAATAACTTTTTTATAAATATTGTCAACTAAAATTTTTTGAATGTTATTCAATATTATGATTTTGACAATATATATCAAAGTCATTGGATTTGAATCCTTTAAACAAAAATTTTCTAGAAATCTACTCAAATTTTAAATGTTATTTATGATTATATTGTAGAAATAATATATTTAATTAAATTATAAATTATGATGGAGTTTGATCGAAATTGGTCAAAGTTCGCTTTGATTATAAATTCTTAAATTATTGTAAGGAAAATTATTGTAAGGAAAACCCACCAGCATAAATCCAATTACTGTTCTTAACATGGCAACTGCAATATAGCCATAAGTTGCCAACCAAGGTGTTAAAAATGTAACAGCGCTGGATACTAACATACTGTGTCCGAAAACTCTTTTGGGTCCTATTATTTCAGCGAGTCGTCCACCCGGTAACTCGGTACATATGTAACCCCAGAAAAAACTGCCCAATATGATATTAACTTCGTATTCGTTCCACGGATATCTCGTTTGATTAATTTCTTCCTAAGAAGTAGCAAAAACGAGATCATTTTGAAGGAATGAAAAAAGAAAATAAAAATCATAATCCAAATTTCAAAAATTATAGTATACAAATTAATATTTTTGGATATTTTTGAATAAATTTGATTTTTAATAATAAATTGATTTATGAATTATAAATATTAAAAATTTTAGTTAAATCATTCGATGATGAAATTTTATTTTAATTATGAATAATTGTATACATATATATTCTTTTAATTATAATTAATTTTTTATTATTGATTGATATTAATTATTAGTAATAGTAATAACGACGGTAAAATATAACAAAAAAATATTTTTGTTTTATTATTGATATTAATTATCGGTAATCGAAATCATTTTTATTTATTCTTAATTAAAACAATAAAAGTTATTATTTAATTTAATAGTTAATTTTTTTGTATTTTTTTTTGAAAAATTTCTTTAAAATTTAATTATGATTGCTTTCCATTTAAATTAATTTTTATTGAATAATTTTCTTCTAAAATATTTATATTATTGATCTTTTTAAAAAAGATAAATTTTTAAAGCATAAACTGTAACGTACATGCCTAGGCGGATAGGGGAGCGAAGATATAGTAGAATTAGAAGCGATCATCGTTGATTCGTTATTGTGCAGAGAAACGTTTATTTTGATTTCATGATCGAAACACTCGTTTGATCTATTATAGCCGCTCGAGTGAGAACTGTCCTTGCTTGGAATCACCATTGATACTATGGCAATCGTCATGTTTACACGTAACATATAATTTAACATGAAACCAAAGATTACCATGATGTTTAACACTTGCTTGCATGTTAATATATCTGAAAGCATGAAAAGGAAATTAAGGAAATCATTGAGAATCTAATCATCTTATTGTATCCTTAAATTCAAATTCACGATTCATTTCAAATAGATCATTTCCAATTGTTGCATCGTGCTATTGAACAGCGCCACTATTCGATAAATTAAAATTAAAGGAAGTTGCATAATATTCGTGGATGCATGATCCTATTGGTTTATCGCGAACAATTAACCAGTTGAGTAAAGGGAATAGTTGTGCGACTTTCAAAAAAAAACCAACTTCGCTTACGCCATTGTACTAATTTACAAATTAAAAATCGTTGTTTTTTCGTTAAAATTGCAATACAATTTTTTTTCGAGTTACTTAATGCAACATTTGAAAATTGGCAACAACCTTCACCCAGAACTTGACTTGTATCCGCTTGCTATTTATATTCATGTTGGTTGGCATAGCATCACGGTCCTCTTTGAGGTAAGCGTGCTACATTGCGCAGAATGCTTCTCTGCTTCAGTTCAGAAATTCGATTTCAATGTATATACATCTCGATCGTTCGACGAATCGTTAAACAGAATTGTGATAACATAAATTATTGTGATGATTTGTATTTTTAAATATGCCTTGAACGCGAAGAAAATTAATTTAACGCTGAACAAAATCTATTTTCGATTTGATATATAAATATATAAATGTAAAGATATCTTACCTAAAACCTTCCATTTCGATGCCATTATTTGATATAATTCGGTTGTAACACAATAATTAAGAAATCGCTCTTCTTAAATGCTGATCGATTAAGGAAAAAGAAGAAAAAAGCTAGAAGAGGATTAAAAAAAGATTAAGAAAAAGTTTGAAAAGGAGTAAAAAAAGACAAGGAAAAGTTCAGAAAAAAATAGAAAAATTGATTGGCAGATGTTTCAATGCTTTAGAAAACACTTGTGCTTTTCCCTCTGCAAAATGCAATTTGAAAAGTTTGGAAACCACTGATTGAAGAAAAATGCAAAACACATGCAAGATACTTCTAGAGTCAGAGATAAAGTCACGAAAGAGAATCAAAACTGGCGATGGTTAAAAAACTCGCGAAGAGTTCGAGAACACAGTGTGTTATTGGCAACGTCAGTTGAACTGCGCGGTAATCTCACAGCGTGCCAGTGATGACGTTACGACAACGCAAATTGTTTTAACGGTAAGCGTTTGTGTATGCTTGTATTAGTATTCTTATTCCTATCTCTATTTGCAACTGCACTCATACTATTACTGTTGCACATTCGTCTCTTCTAATGATCAAACTAAACTGATCGCGAATATTTCGTTATATATATTTATGCATTCTTTTCTTTGCCAACTATTTAGATCCCCGTTTGAACAGTTTATATATTTGAAAACTAGCAAAAATAAAAAAATACGAAGAACGTCACTTATTCATATTGTTCTTCTCATGCCAGATACAGTGAATATTCAATAATTTATGAAAATTTATATATAAATTTATAGTTTAAATATGAAAGATTTTTTTATGCATTTGCTTCAGAGTTTTATTTCATTATAAAATATTGTTTTATCATAATTGTAATAAATTTATTGTAATCTGAAATTAAAAATAAAAATTATGTTTCTCTATTTTTACTCAAAAAAAAAAAAAAAAAGAATTTACGTATTTATCTTTAACATGACAGGAACAATATAATAAAAAAAGTAATCTGTATTAAAAATGATCTGAATATTTCAAAATATATATATATATATATATATACAATTTAAGTTCATAATTTATAAAAAATATTGAAATTTTATTAAGGACAAAAAATATTTTATAATTTTTGAATGGAAGTTATAATTAACTAATTCAAAGCATGAAGTAATTCGAAAATAAATTCAAATTTAAAAATTGTTTATTGTATGCACTTTTTTTTTTTTGATCTGTCATTTGATATTATTTTTATTTTATAAATAAACAAAAAGATTCTGTTTCGGATTTCAGTTTTTAAAAATGAATATTATTTAATCTTTATTAAAATAATGTATAGATCAGTTTCACTTGAATCGATTAATAAAAATTTGTGAAGGATAAAGAGCAACGTTACTCGAAGAACATTTCAGTGAATTCCTTGATATAAATTTTACTCGATTCTATATACAAATACCACATAATGCAATCTGTCTCTATCACTTCCGATTATCACGATGAATAAACGAATGAAAGATATTCGAATAATTAATCCAAAATATTAAGCTTGCTGGTAGTTTTCCTGAGTTGTGCTCTCCAAGGAATAATTTGGGTATTATCATCCATCTGATTCGCTTGTGTTGCATGCGATCCGTGATTCGAAATATTCGTGTCTTCCTTTTTCTCTTCTGTTTCTGATTTCTCTTCATGTCGGTGGGTACGTGGCGGATTTGGCGGATTTTGTGGATTTGGTGGATTTGGTGGATTTGACGAAGGCGAAACGTCACGTCTTGGTGACGGTGTCGCATCCACTTTGAATATTGGCATCACATGTGCTTGGCTCAGTCTATTTAAATAAAAGTATTATCGTTTATTAGAATTATGACAAGTTTAAACTTCATTTTGGGATATTACTTTTTTTTAATAATAATAATTCGTTTTATATTTTTTAATATCGATAAGTCGAAATGAATAAAGACAAAATATAACGGTTGAATTTAAGAATTCATTATTTATGTTTATTTATAATCTGATACTTTTAGCATTTAGTTAGGTTAAGTTGATAAATTTAAATTAGATTAGATTAAATTATTAAGTTATTGATTTCGCATTGGCGAATTTATCTTTAAAAGAGATAAAAAAAAATTTGTTTTCACGATAATGAATTTAAAAATTGATTATGTGAATACTTATGATGTCATTTTTACGGAAATGATATCAATTAATTAATGGATAGACATTATTAAATATGAGACTTTTTATACTTTTATTGTATTTTTTGATAGCATTCAATGAATAAAAAAATATCGATTTTGAATCTAAAAATTAGTTCAAAAATATATATATTTAAAATTTGATATTTTTAGCGTATTATGTAATTTAAATTAAATTATTGCTTAAAGTTAGATTAAATTACATTATCAATATCGTGTTAGCATTTTATTCAGACATAAGAAATTAGATGATAAAAGGAGAAATTGAAGTTTTTCACGATGATAAATTTGGAAATTTTTTGAATTTAGATTTTTATATTTTTATTGTATTTTCTGATAATATTGATGAATAAATAAATATATACCGATCAAATTAACTTATTATTAACATTTGAATAATTATATTCCTAAATTCAAAACCACGATCAGACAAGACAAAGAAAGTTTAGAAAAATTGTTTTTAAAATGAAGTTTGATCTGATGATAATTATAAACGAGCAAATTAAACCTTTTTTCTTCATTATCCTTTTTAGCGAGAAGTTGCCTTTTCCAAGCAGGAATCGCTTTTTGTCGTCTTTCTTCGTTTTCTCTGGCAATTTGTTCTTCTAATTCTTTCTTTGCTCGCTCAGCAGCTTTTCGTGCTAACATTTGTCGTTTCCATATTGGTATCACGTTTCCGGAACTATCTTTCTCTGGAATCTTTTGAAAATCGATAAATTAACATTAAATAAGCGTTAAATGAAAAAAAAATACTATGATGTAATAGAAGAAGAATGAAAAAAAAAAATCGATTCTAATTGTTTACCTGATCCACGAAATTCGAAACATTGAATACTTTATTGATCTCGGACATAAGATTCTGCTCTTGCGTCTTCTCGACTTGTGCCATTTCCACCTTTAGCTTTTTAATTCCAGGAATGTCTTTAGTTCTTTTTAGTTCCGCGATCAAATCGGTTTTTTGAATAAAGAATGACTCTGAAACTAAGAACATCGATTAATTGAATAATTCATTTAAATTCCGAATGTTATTATATAGTATGTCTGAAAAATATTGGGATTCTTTTTTTATATTTTTCTAGAAACGTCATTTATCAATTGTTTATATAAATTTTGTAGTTTACGCATTCATATGAATTTACTAATTTTTCATAAGTAGAAATATGATATCACATAACATATAATGATTGAATTGAAATAATATATAAATAATATATATAATATATATAATAATATATTAAATAATATATAAAATATCTTAACAAGGTGAAATAGTGGAACAGTGTTACTTTAGACAATGTACTTGCTTATTAGACCATGATTTTATGAATTTTTGACTAAAAAAAAAAATAATTATTTTTAATCAATCATCATATTTTCATCTGAATTGATTTCGTGTGATTATTCTTTTTAAAACTAAAAATATTAATAAAAGACATTTGCTACAATGATATTTCCGCCAAATAACGATAGTAATAATATTTAAAATGATTTAATCAGCAGACTTATAGAAATTTATCTTATGTTGATTCACTTGTTTAATGATGTATTGATACCAAAAGAATATATTTTTAACAAAATGGATATCTAAATATTGTAAATTTTTGAATTTATATATTTTCAGTTCTATTTTTCATGTATGTACTATATAATTTTATTATTATTCTGTGTTATTATTCTGTGACTTACCATTAGTCATAGATACACTACGTGGCGGAGGAGCAGAAAATGTTTTCGTTGCATTCATTTTCGTGGTGGTTCTTCGGAGCTGAATGCTCGTCAGATCTTGAATACTTATGGTTGCGAGTGGTTGTGGTGTTTTTGGCGATTCGAAATCAACATTCGCAACCATTCCAGATTCTTCATTGGCTCGTCGCAATTTTTGAAGTGGTGACATAGGTGGTGGTGGAGGTCCTGCAGTTAATTCTTTCCCTTCCTCCACTATTATCCTTTCCTCCTCCTCGACACTCTTTCTTTCTTGCTCCCCCTCTGTCGCAGCTATTACCAATATTTCGGGTTCTTGATCTTCTATCCCTTCCGATCTAATACAGCTTTCCCTTCGATCTCCGCTTCTGCTCTGTATATCCAAATTGTCCACTGATCTACGAATGTTATTTACTTTGACAACTAGTTTGATATATCAAATATGAAAAATTTGAAACAAATCATATTTTGATTTTTTTCTTTAATATTCTACTGACCTTGCTTTTAATAAGTTGCTTTTTGTTGAAACCTTGCAAATACTTTTCAAATATTCGGATGGCTTAAGTAAGGTGTTCGAGTCCGCGTTCGCGAACTTGGGTGGTATAAACGGTAGCACCATATGTTTATT